TAACCATTCACGTAATGGAGCTAGGTAAAATTTAAATAAATAAATAAATAAAATTCAAGACGTATTGTAATATATATTAGTAAAAGAAAATTTATGTACCATATTATTACAATTATAATAATAATAATAATGTCTTTAAAGTTGTTATATATATATATATCATCCCTACACTGCCAGTTACATTGACAACCAATCATATCTTTTAAAGTTACTTATTTTATTATTATTTCATTAAATAATCAACTGACATGTCACTATTAAAAGATATGATTGGTTGCTAGTGTAAAATAATTTTACACTGACAATGTATAGATGATTAACTCTATATATATATATGAGGGAGGTTATAATTACACCGGTATAACTTTTATTAAGTATTACATCACTCAATAACTTATTTTGTAAATCCAACCGTTAGATTGAAAGTTGATATCACTTTATACATGTATATCAAATTTTATTAAAATTGAACAACAACTTGAAGGTAATCAAAGTGTTCATATTTTAGTGTATTTTGAAATGAATATATTATGTCAATTTTATTTTATAAAAATGAAGTATCAAATCATCTTGGATTAATATAAAATTTTGTATATATGATCTAAGAGATATGAACTTTCAATCTAACGATTGTATTTACAAAATTCACACTTAATATAAAGTTATTGAGCAGTGTAATACTTAGTAAAAATTACACCGGTGTAATTATAACCCCTTTGGGTTCAAACGACACCGGTGTAACTTTTACTAAGTGTTACACCGCTTAATAACTTTATATATGAACTTTCAATAACGGTTAGATTTACGAAATTCGTATTTAATGTAAATTTATTGAGCGGTGTAATAGTTAGTAAAAGTTACATCGATGTTGTTTGAACCCTCCTCGTATATATAAATGAGCGATTTTTTTTTTGATTTGTCCTGACTAATCTCCTCGTTAGGTTAGAAATAACTCAAAGAATAAGATAGCTGGCCTCAAAATTTAACGCAGCTGCATGCACAAGCATTGATCAACCCGTACCACTAAAGCAGAAACTTGGGTTAGTTTCCAAATGTAGTGTAGTAGTGGTTAATATGTAGTAATATTGACAAATATCTGGGTAACTGCTTTTATGAAGAGCAAGAAGTAGAAGTGAGCATTGAATTGAATTTGTTGTTGACTTCTCTTCACTCCGTGGCCACCACAATGTCACGCACCATGGAGTGGGCGGCGCGGCCCGACCACCTCAGAGGCATTCCCAGAAAGCTCGTGATTGCGGCGGTGGGCGCATTCGCCAAAACGGTGTCGTCTCTTCTCAACACCACCTCCGTTCACAACGCCGACACCCTCCTCCGCCTCCTCCGCTCCAGGCCCCGCCGCGTCCCTCTCATCACCGTTAGCAATCACATGTCCACGTCAGCACTCTCTTTCTTTCCTTTCCTTTTTCTTTTTCTCTTTCTCTTTCGATCTCTTTATTTATGAATTGAAGCGACGGTGCAGTTTGGATGATCCTTCAATGTGGGGCTTCAAGGGTTTCCCCATCTTCGATGCTAGCTTAGCTCGATGGGTACTCGCTGCCGAAGATATATGCTTCAAGAATGCCCTCTATTCCTATATTTTTCGTCTTGGTAACTCTTTTCTCTAGTTTCGCTTCCTATTGTTTCAATTCTTTAGATTGAGCAATTAGGCATGCCTGTTTTTGTTTCATTCGGTGGAATGTGTGTTAGAGCTTAGAAGGGTCCTAGGCAATTCTTCATTTCCAAGTTAGGCTGCGGTTCAACTACTCCCTCCACCCCTCGATGACTGGAGTTTTGACATCTGAAAAATATCCCAAAATGAATCATATTCTCATTTTTTCAATGTAATATTATTGAGAGGGTGAGTCATTTTAGTATAATTATATAAAAAGTGATACATTGATTTTTGTCTTTAATTTGTGTATAGAAACCTTAAATCACAGTCATTGTGGGTCGGAAGGAGTAACATTTTGCTCTTTAAACTGACAAGATTTTCTTCTTGTTGATTTACAAATACTAGAGAAATAATGGTTTCTTGTTTTGTGAGTGTTTTATGATTTTATTTTTTCTTTAGACTGACTATAGAAGCATTAACTAAGAAAGGAGAGTGTACAAGACAGGAGGATCTGGAATTCCCTAGATGCTTCAAACAAAACAACAGAAAAAAGAAAAAAAAAATGAGAAGAAATCAAGTCACATAGAAACGCCCTAGCGAAACATGTAAGAAAGTATATAGTTTTTTTTTTTTAATCCATGGACATGGCCTATGCAATGTTTCAAAGCTATCTGCATTCGCAAGGCATGACTTTCATTGACCAAATATTATTTTAATTTAGACAAGAATTAAATGTGAGAGCACCAGGTTGACTCCTGTATCCTAGGACAAACCTTACAACTATTAAGCCAAGAGAATTGGTTATAAAGTAGATAAGCTTAAATATGTTTGAAGTCTCTGAAATATAAGTTAAAAATAACTAATGTTGCATAACCAACTCAATCTGTCAAGGGACTAAAACAGATCTTTTAAAATTATAGGGAATAAAACAGATTTTTTTAAAAGTTATAGGAACTAAAAACATTAGTCCCTATAATCTAATTGTAAATTCTTGTATTTATTAATTAGTTGAGGGAACCAAAAACAAACTTGTCCCAAAATTTGAGGGACAAAAAACATTTTTAAGCTAAGAATGTAATAGTAGTATTGTATGTGTGTAATTATGATAATTGGGATAATTGTAAATCCTTGTATTTATTAATTATTTCTTTCAGTGTAAATAATATTTTCCGTGGTGTAATTCAGACACAGACACAAATCCCTACACATCTGTCAGTTATTTTTCTCTGGGGACAATACCCGCTGTGCAGTTAACACAGCAGGGTTGTCCCATTAAAGTTGTTGAAAAGGAAATATGCTGCTGAAACACTTTAGTAGTATCCTTTCCACTCCCAAAACTTTATAATGAGTGTAAGGAAAACAGTTGATATACTGAATTTGTAAATGGGCCAGGATCATGAAATTGGTCTGGGAGTGGGACACCGAGTTACTTCTAGATTGCACAAAGAACATATGGTTAGAGAATGTGCCCAAAGAGGGAATTTCTGCTGGAATGCTCTTGCAAGGAAAGGCTATTGGCATTTCCCAACCTTTGTAAATTAGGTAAAATTTAATTTTGAATTGAAAAAGAAAACTAAAACTGGAGAAAATGTCTTTGAAGTAAAAAATGTGTATATTGACTATCAAGGGTTTTCTTCAATTAATGTAATTGCTAGATATTCATATTTGAGAGTCCCTGTCCAATAACATTGTGTGGTGATTCTGATGAAGTCCATTTGTGTGATTTCTGTACTTCAGTAGTATAGAATTAAGCTAATTTCGCTTCACTAGGCAAACAAAGTTGGAACTAATTATAAGGTTAATATAATGCTTTAGTGCTATCTATTTTGTAAGATTGGGTTTAAGTTTATTATTTTACGCATCAAAATATGCTGAAAAGCTTTTCTAGTTGTTTTTTAGAGGACTATTGTTTTCTTGTTTCTAAAATGGTATCTTGCACAGGGAAATGCATACCTATTACGAGAGGTGGTGGAATTTATCAAGAGCACATGAATGAAGCTCTTGAACGCTTAAATAATGGAGAATGGGTATCTGTGTAACGTTTAATACTTTTTCCCCTCACGCAAGCTGAACTCTTTTATGATGATGTTTTGGGTAGTTTATTTTAGAAGTATTGATTATGATTATTATGACCCTCTAGTGTTGTTAGGAATATATTTGTTTTCATTTTTTCTTGTGTGTTGATGTTAAATGAGTTGCAAACTTTTGAAGTCATGTCTTCTTGTAAGTTACCCGAATAAGAAACATGATCTTAAATGACAGATGATAGATCAATTGTCTCACGGGGCAAATGTTTGGAATGTTATACACATAATGCCAAAGAAAGTGATTAAGATGGTTAGAGGGCATTAGTTACCAAGTAGCATATACATCGTATATCAGAATGGAAATGATTATGTAGGGATGTTAGTTAGAGGATAAATGGTTATTCTCTCGTTCAGTTATATGCTAAGGGAAGCGGTGTATTTTCTATAGGAACTTTACTTTGGGAAAGTGTTAGCAAGTAGATATCCTGTACTTCTATGTTCTTTTTTCTTCTTTTACTCTTTTATGCTTTGTAGCTTACATAATATACCACAGAATATCCGTCTGTTTTTACTCTTCATTGTTGGGCCCTATCATCTTCCTATGAATTATTCAGTTGCATGGTGGATCGTGATGCTGACTTGTGATTTGTCTTACTATGACTAGTGACTTTGCAGATATGTCTGAACAAAATGTTAGGATAGTTTATTTAGAAGTTTGGTTTTGTGGTGAAATGTCCTTGGTTTAAACAGGCAAGCCTTGGTTTTTAAAGGTGGACTGTGTCACATGATGCAGCCACAGTTTGCAACCACATCACTCCATAATTGCAGATTGCATTTGCCTGCAATGCAGTATCCCAACCACAATCGTGCTGCAAGTTGTAGTTTCATTGTACAGGAAACTGATTCTAAGGTTACTTAGGTGTTCTTTGGATTGGGAAGCACTTTTCATTTTTTTTTTCTACGATTATTTTTATATTGAATTTTTCAGTTGTTTAATTGAAGATCAAATCTTAAACCAAACCCACTTCACACCGTTGATTCCTAAGATCACCAAAGCATCAGCAACCATCCTCTGCTCTAGCATATAAGAAATACTCTAGACTGCAATTTGCTCTATTTCTTTTCATGCTATGCTTGATGATGCATTTTTTAGCTGAATTGAAGAAGGGAGTGGAGGAGTTAGAAAAGAGATGAATTTCTATTCACTTGATTCAACAACTAGGTAGTAAATCAATGTTGATTGATGGGTCTTGTTTTTTGTTTTATTTGATTACTAAAGATGATCTTTCCCTTGCATCACTTGGTAAGCAGAGTTTAGAATGAGTGCTTCTTATGACCAGAAAATTGCAAAAGTATAAAGATGCCTTTGCTTCTGATTTAGGGGAAAAGTTTATTATAAAATGTTTTCCTTTAAGCCAAATTAAACATAAGCTTTCTTTCCTATTTTGGGCAAAAAAGAAAATCAAAACACCAGTGATCAACAGAGCGTTTTATGCTTAATCTTTACATGGAATTTTTATGAAAGGCAATACAGTAAATTGGTAAACCACAGCCATAAGAGAACTAGTTTCAGAAGTTCTCTAAAACTGGTGCTTTAATTAGATAGATGCTGGCACACTGTTTTACACTTTTTCTACCCAAATGGGAAATTCTTTTTTACTAGTAAAGTAGAACTCATATATCATTTATGATTTTGTTATGGCAGCTGCATACTTTTCCAGAAGGAAAAGTGTATCAAGAAGATGCACCTATAAAGCGGTTGAAATGGGGAACTGCTAGTCTAATTGTTCGAGCACCTAGAACTCCAATTGTATTGCCAATTGTCCATCATGGTTTTCACAAGGTAAGTCAGCATTTCTCTGCTTCCCTATAAACTTCATATTCTACACTTCTGGTTGTGTCTTCTAACCCAGTTTTATCTTCTTTTAATTGATCTTGTTTGTTGGAGTAAGAACACCTCGATGATAAGCTTTCTTCAGTCATTATATTTAGAATTGGAGCATTTATATCTTGTAGATCAACAATGATGTCTTGCAAGGAAAACAGTTTTTATATTACTGGCAAACTTATCTTGAAAAATAATCATTTAACTTTGGAACTATGAAGATAGTAGCAAGCATTTATCAATGTTCCAATGACTAAATGAAGAGTTAACAAGGGTTGAGAACACGACCTGTTACTCTAATTATAAATTTATAGAGTCTATGTTTGCTCTGGCCAAGATTTTTTCCTCATGCTTCCTTCTCAAGACTTCAGTGTATTGCTACTTGTTATTATTATCATAAGCAAGAGAACAAAGTATTGCTACTTGAAATTGTAGTTATTGATCTCATCCGATAGTGGGACTGTAGTGCCATTGCGGCACAGAAAGGTCATTGGCTGCTACAGAAATGCCTTAGGATAGTGTTTTGGGATCACCGCAGAAATTGTGGCCAAAATCACAAAATTTTACATTCTACAGCAGCACAATGCCAATGTCTGGTGAAAACCCTTGTTTTGCCTGTTTTGACGTCATTTTAGGGGTAAACATGAGATTCCACCCTCCTTTTCAGACCTTTGGGGAAAATCCTAATTTCCTTACTTTCCCTCCACATTTTACATGCTACAGCAGCACAATGCCAATGAATGGAAAAGTAAGGTATTTTCACCTTTCAGTCTCTCAGGCTAGGCTGGCTAGTATGGATTTACTGCTACCCCCTTGTCCATGCCAGTTTGGCCATTGGGAGCCATTATGTTGTATAACTTATATAATCTGTATAAAAATTATATAGGTATATGCTATAACGCAATGTGCTATATCATGAATAATATTTATGTAGTATAAATTAAATAATCTGTATAAAAATTATCAGAGCAGCACTCATCCTGTTATACACTATGTGCAAAATAATGAAAATTCATTAAGGATAAAGATTAAGATTTCTGTAGTCCTTGGTGCTAATTTGTATAATTTAATATTATATTGGTCAGCACGGCACTACATAGTTTCTCTGCATTAGTGAAGACTGGATCTGAAATTGTCTTACTGTCACTAGTGATACATATTAGGAAATCTGAGAGATTTTTAAGATTTTTGACATACTGTTTTCTGTAATTCTTTTATTATACACTGCGTAAGAGATTGGCTTCTATCATTATTGTTGTCTCATTGTTCCAATATAAATGCCACAGATGCCTAACACTGATAAGGTTCCTCACTTCTTTGTGCATGTTTTTAGTTTCTATAAATTCTGTCTAGATTGATGATTGAACTGTTGTTATGTTTTAAGTCGTATATGTTTATTCTGGTCTTTAATGCTAGGTTCTGCTTATATTTTCTAGGTGATGCCAGAGGAGTATATGTTTGGTAGACGGCCTCTTGTACCGTTATGGAATAAGAAAATTAACATAATTATTGGTGATCCAATTGAATTTGACCTTCCAGAAATGAGGCAAAAAGCTATTTTCCAGTCTCGTAATGAGTCATTCCCTACTACTGGATGGCCCAGCACTTCTGATGGTTTGGATGAAGCAGCACAAAGATGCCTCTACTCCACAATTTCAGACCAAATCCGTGCTGCCATGGAGAGATTAAGGTGTCTTGGTAAAAGTTTTCTGAAGCAATAGCTTCTTTAGATCTCGAGTTTAGTATTTGTGTCATTCTTTGTTATTGTAATTGATAATTGAGTGAGAAGTCTATACTTCGGTTTGGCTTCCTAAAATCAAGTGTCATTAGAATACATACTAGTTTTGTAACCAAGGGAGGTTTAGCTCAATTGATTGAGCAGGGTGTATGAGTATTGTAAACCCTTGGTACCAAGTTCGATTCTTACAGGTCAAAGAAACAAAAAGCATACTAGTTTTGTAGGGGGAAATGAGTTCCCCTCCATGTAAAGCCCAAAATTAGATGGGCTAGTATTTCAAAATCCATAGCTTCATTAATTGATTTGGATTCTTAGCATTTGAGTAGTGTCATATCACCTAGGAAGGATACATAATAGAAATAAGCAGCTGGGACTGGCATTTCAGATGGGGTCTCATTGTTCATTTCTTTCTGTGTAATGTACAATATCCTAATCCATGGTTTCATATCATGTGTCTGTCGTATCGTCCGTGTTTATTTGTCCACATGGTGTTGGTTTGATCCCTTTTGTCGTCCCCCAACAACCCTGTTTTTTGCTAATAAATTTACTGCAAAGACAGGAAAACAAGTGCAGCATCATTCGGATTCAGAGTTCAAATTTTGTTAGCAGAAGAGATACTAGTAGGGCCATCAGGTTCAGGTACGGGAAATCTAATGCTAATGGTTGCATTTGGAAAATTAAACTTGCAGTCACTAAGATTTAGATGATAAATTTCTCAACAAACACTTTTAGTTTGGGTAGTGTTTGCCTCAACCTTTTCCTAATTTTTATTCTACTTAAAAGGAGAATTTGGGTAAAAACACATTTTCCTTATAAAAAAAATTAAGGAGTTTTTTTTATAAAAGAAAAAAATGGGAAAAATAGCTTTTAAAAAAAGTTGACTAAAGTAACCTTTAAAAATTAAGTTGTACACTTTACCTTCGCCTCATCTTGAACTAATAGAAAAAAAATAAAATAAGCTAAGGAGAACAAATAAATCATTTTTTCATAAAATGAAAAAATAATAGTTAATTTTTAAGAAAGTTAAATTAAAATAGTTAATTTCAAGTTGTCAAAATAATAGACTCTTTTTATCTAATTGATTAATTTTATTATATTCTCTTGAAAGTGCTTAATAAGAAACTTATCCAATCTGAACATTAATAATAAAGTAAATTACAGTAATACTTCATGAGGTTTTGTAAAATTGCTTGCACACTGGTTTTTCTATCTTTTCACTAATTCTTTAACTGTTTAAAAAAAATATTACACCAACAGTCCCTTAGCCATTATCCAAATCTCTTTTAATTGTTGTAAAAAAATATTATATTATAATTCTTAGTTGTAAACATTAAAAAAGAATTAGAGGTATGTGTAATTTCACGAAATCATAGGTGTGTTACTGTAAATTATTATCAATAATAAAATAATATGAATAAAAGGAGGTGTTGTAAAAATGGTTTGAAAAAATATGGTGTAATCCGTCCTTACCAAAGGTAAAGATCTCTGTTTTTTTTTCTTATATTATTATTATTATTATTATTGAGTGAAAATTGTGGTCTCGTTAAATAATTTGATCCACTCTATTAGTGGGCTCAACTTAGGATTCCAGTATATAATAGGGTAAAAATAAAAGTACCAAAGTGCGTTTTATTAGTGTTTCTCTTTCTTTGACATATGCAAGGATGAGAGAAGTGGCACACAACACTTACGTAAGGTGAATTAGCCTTATACGTTTTTATTTTACTTTTATTTTTTTTATGATTATAATTTTATTAGTACAAACTATCTATTAATTTTTTCAAAGATTAATCTCTATTAAAAAATTTAATTAATTATCTTTAGTAGGATCTCCTTTGTCAACAATATTTCTAATACACAAAAACTCAAATCCGACATTTTGCTAAAAGGGATCGAGTCAAGAAATACTCAAAAGATTAAAGAGGAAAGTTGGGAAAGAAAGCATAAAATGATATAGAATAGTATATTCTAGTATAACATTATCTGTTATGTATTTAAACACAAAACAAGTATTTTTGTGTTGTCTAATACTACTATCTTTTATGTATTTGGAAAAATAAAGACGCTCCAAAAGCCAGAAATGCTATTGAGACCACTAAGTTTGATGATTTTCAATTTCACCTGGCTTAAATCAGATGTACAAATTAGTTGCATGTTAAAAAGTTAGTTACTTTCGTTGGCTTTATAAGTGCCATTGTACTATTATAGTAAAATTACCTTTTTCATTTCAATGCACTTCTATTTTTATTTATTTATTAATTTTGTATATTTTCTCTCTTCTTTCTTTCTTGAGCTCTGACACCCAAGACCCACAACAAAGAGGGCATAGTTTCTTTTTTACTTATGTAATGTTTAGTTCAACTTCTTTTTAGATCTTTTTAAAAGAAAAAAAGTCTAAAACCACGAGTTATATATATATAAATCAATTGAAATCATTTTAATTTTATCAAAAAAGTGTGAGAAAAATTTAAGCTAAATCTTACCTCGCCCTAAAGACACATGTCTCATTGTCATGATATAAGCTATGTACTCTCTTGCTTTGTAGCTGGAAACATAAGAGATTGGTGAATATGAGTTATTTTGTTACCACATACGGACTAACATTTACACCTTGAATTTGGCATCATGTGTAAAAATAACTTATCTAGTATAAAAGTTTCGCCTTTTAAGTTCGTATATATATAAAACATCATGATATAACTTGATAAATACATCTCATTATTTCAATGAATTAATTCGAAATAATTAATTCTTAACTTTCTATAATAACAACAAGAGAAGATTTGTACATTATATGGGCATATATTTGAATACTGCTAAAGCAAATCCGAGTATTAAAAGGCTATATACTTCTCTATGGGCAATGTGTTTCTAAGGTCAAATAACTCTCTAAAGTTCGGCAGCATACTATTGTTAGATCCTTTTTATTAGGAATAAATATCTTATTCATTCGGTTATGTAACATACTTATCATTTATAATGGATATACGTTTTCATTATGACTCTTAATGGTTTAATCATAAGGTACACATTTCTATTAATCTATAACATTGTCATCTCTCTGACTAAAGGGGAGTGTCATCACAAAGGCACCTCACTATGTCCTGAGGATGTCAAAGTTTGTAGAAGGAAAGGAAAACTTTGAACATAAGTCTATGTACTCAATTTTCTTAAAGTACATATATGATCAAATAGAAAATTGATTACAGAGGACATAGGTTTACATGTTTTTATCCATTTTTGTTCTATCATTTTTTTAAAAAAAATTGTAATTTATTTAAAATTTATTTTCTAAAAATGGAAACTAAAATATAAGTTTAAATATATTTTTAATCTCTTAAATTTAAAATAAATTTATTTTTCTTTATTCAAGTTTAAAATTTTTATCTTTTTTTAATTCATATAAATTCATAAAAGATCGTTTATTCTTAGAATCATAAAGTCAGATTAAGTCAATTAGACAACATCAATTAAATTTAATGTGATTTTTTATTTTTAAAAAATATTATATTTAAACAAAATAACTTACATAAGTTTTCCCCCTTCAAATTACGGTACTAAAAATCAATTTGCAACATGTTAGGCAAATTCTACATAGTACCATTGATTACGTGGTTCACTAGTGGACCAATAATTTAATGTCATTGGATTAATTGAAAATAAACAAATGAACCAAATTTTGTATATTTTTATATTAAAATTAATCTATACAATGAATGTATGTTTTGCCCCTTGATTCATCCCCATCATCCACCACATGATGCAAAACTCCACCACACCCACTTCTAGGTTGAAACATGAACTCCCACCCACAACCATTGACTTAGTTCCACCATGAACATGTATATTTGGGAGAGAAGAGGAAGGTTTTTCACTGTAGAAAGCACCCACATATATAACCCTAAAATTTATATATGAATCCTTTAAATTAAAAAAAAAAAAAAAAGGAATACAAAGTTGCACAGCTAATCCTAATTGATAATTAACCCCCTTTCCTGAAATGGAAGTCACAATCATTAATCATTTGAGTGAGAGAGCAAGTTTGGTTAACCAAAACAAAAATCCTCAAAGTGGTTACCAAAAGTTGCCTTTTCTAACAACTTGAGATTATTTCAATCAAGTTTAGCTTCTTTTTACGCGCATTTTGCAATTGGTCCACCCAATTGAAGAGATAAAGATTGGTTTGCTCTACTTTCTCATGCTTCTCTTAATTGCCCTTCTAGCTAGCACTGCTCTGGTTGTTGGACTAGAGTAACTTCAAAGGTTGCCTTTCATAAACACTTCAAATATCTATATAAATAATAATAATAATATTCTGCAAAATTTGGAACAATGAAGTAACCATTGCACAATGTGGTGTGGCTCAATGGGTATGAAATATTCAAAGTGACCATTCTCGTGAATCTTATAAAATCAACATTAATTAAACCCATGTTTTCCCTCTCTCTTTGCAATCTTGTTTTTTGTGTGTGCATTTCACTGGCCCTGGCCGGCAACACTCTCATTGTAAATTGTTATTATTTGCATGCATTGTTTGGCCATTTCAATTCTCATATTTATTTATAGGCATGAAGGCATTATATTATATCATATTAGTGGGATCAAAGATTTTATATATTTTGTTTAAAAATAATAATAATGAATAACAATAATAGAAATTATAAAATATAAATTAAGTGAGATAATATATAATTAAAAAATAATCTTAAATAAAATTAAAGATCAAAAGTAGTTACAAAATAAGAGAATTGTTATTATATTGATAGAGTGAATAATTATTTTATTTTATACATAATTTTTCTTCTGATGGTAAAAAAAAATTATATATAATAAAGGAGTATAAATATCTTTAAAAAAATGTGAAAATGAAAGAGATGTATTCTTTTATTTATTTATATGTGTGTATATAAGGCATAAAAGGATAGATATATAATATAGTAGTACTTGTGGAAAAAAGTTGATAATAGTGAGAAATAATAATCAATTAACCACTTGATCAGTAACTAGTAGAATATGAGAGACATCATAAGCAATTACTTTTTAATTATTTTAAAGTTGCTGAGCAGATACACTATTGCTCACTGACTGGGGATTGTAAGAAATATTATTAATTTGCCATTCTTTTAGCATGTTAAGTTGAAATGTTTTCTAAAGCTGTTGAGATGTGGAAAAGTTATTAATGTTTCATTCATTATTTGTTTAAAATAGCAAATAGTGATGTAGTTGTGGAGATGTTAAATGCATATTAAAGTGATTGGTCAAAGAAAAAGAGTGAACATTACTGAATGTTAAAAATATTATACAAAAAACTATAAATTTAAAATTTAAATTCTACGAGTTTGAATTAGGATTGAAAATATTAAATTAAAAAAAAAAAAAAAAACTCAGTGACATTTGTATTAGGTTCAATACAAATATTGTCTTATTTTTTTGTGATTCTTGTGCATAAA